ATCATTATGGAGGGAAGTTCAGGGCATTCAGAGAAAAAGACGGGCCAGTGAAGCAATCAGAGAGAAAGGTGAGTCAAAGATCACCTAACTCAAGAATAACCAGGGGGCCTATGGTAAGATTTCAGCAGCGGCAGCTCAAGACTCAGAGAAATAGCACAGAAAAGTATCTTTACAATGAACTGCTTGAGTAGAGTGAAAAGAGAACCCATGAATAAAAAGAAAAAGAAAGAATTATACAGAAGGATCTGTACAAAACTTACCCGGGTTACCAGCTGACTAGATCTCACAAATGAAGACTTCCGGAGCTACGCTATTGGGACAAGTAAGTCCCAGTCAGAAGCAAGAAAGAATGCTGACCTCCAGCTCTTCCACAACTGCTGTTCAACGTCAAAAGACAACAGACAAACATGTACAAAAGCCTTAGGGGAAGACAATGTGGAAGCCGTGTCGTCATTCAAAAATAAAGCCTTCTTTGATCATGATGGAGTAACAGGGATCAGAATGGCCCTCCAGACTTAAGAAATCACTAGAACGGGGGCCTGGGTGGCTCATTCGGATCGAATCCCGTGTAAGGCTCCCTGTTCAGTGGGGGGTCTGCAGCTCCCTCTCCCTCTACCCCTCTCCCCTGGTCTCTCTCTTCCTCAAATAAATAAATAAAATCTTTAAGTAAAATAAGATAGAGTGAAATAAAAAGAAATCAATACAACAGAAAATGGTATACAAAGGAAAGGTCTCTAGACACGAGACATCAGGCAGAGTAGGCTGTGATTCCTGAGAGAAAAACAAATGAGAGGAGACTGCCCACTGCCCCAGGTGGTTTCCAAGGAAAGAGGGGAACCATAACGAGACCAAAGAGAGGGAAGTGAGAAAGTGGGCAGGTGAAAGTGGCTAGAACTGGTAGTACAGTCCTTGTGGAGAGAGGGGTCCCTTGAATCTTTGGTGGAGTGCTGATCTGCACCTGTGAGAGGAAGCTACCCGGGGCCAGCAAAAGACCCACTGAAAAACAGGTGACAAGCCTTCCTGAAGCTTATGCAGAGCTGGCAAGAAAGGCCTCGTTACAGAGAATCCAGAAAGAGACCCACGCAAATGCGGTCATCTGATTTCAACAAAAATGCCAAGGCAATTCACTAGGAAATAAGCTTTTCATGACATCAGCCTTGAAGAGTTGCGTATCCACATGTGTAAGGAGGAGCTTTTGATCTTGTTTTATAGTATATACAAAAATAACTTAAAATATGCAATAATCATAAATGTAAGAGCTAAAATGATGAAACTTCTAGAAGAAAACATAGCAGAAAAGAATCTTTGCAATCCTAGGTTAGAAAAATATTTTCTAAGTATCTCATTTGAATCACAATTCATGAAATAGAAAAATTGGTAAATATAACTTCACCAAAATTAAAAATTTTTTTCTCTTCCAAAAATAGTGTTAAGAAAATGGGAAGATAAGCCAGAGACTGGGGCGGAAACGCTTGCAAAGCATGTATCTAATAACAGACTGACATACAGAAAACACAAAGGAAAGAACTCATAGAACTCGATAAGAAGACGAATCAAGTTAAGAGAATGGGCAAAAGATTTAAATGGATACCTCACCAAAGAAAGCATACAATATGTGTCAAATAAGCACATAAAAAGATGCTCAATTATTCATATTAACAAAATCCAAATCAAAACCATAGTGAGACACTACTAAGCACTCATTAGAATGCCCAGCTATAAGGGACCAATAACAGCAGGTGTTGGAGGGGATATGGAGCAACTGGGACCATCCTGCTCATGGTTCGTGGGAATGCACATTAGCACCACCCCTTTGGAAAACGTTCCATCAGCTTCTTCTAAAGTTAAATGCATTTGTCATAGGCCCCAGCAATTTCGTTCCTTGTATTTATCCAAGAGAAAGGAAAGAAAATGACCACCCAAAGACTTGTAACAAATTTTCATACTAGCATTATTCGTAATAGTTGACAACTTGACTCCATCTAAATGTCCACCAATGGCTGAATGGATTAACAAATTTGTGAATATTCAGATGACTCTCAAAGCAAGGCAGACACCAAAGATTGCATACTGTAGTATATCATTTCTATGAAATTCTAGAAAAGGCAAAACTGTAGTGACCCAGAAAAGTGGATCATAGTATTGTTGCATAGGTAAAATGTATAGGTAATGCAAGATTTCCTAAAAGAAAGACCAAAATTTAAAACCTTAATAGCTAGCCTTTTCTTGCACCACAGACAAGAGAGCTTTCTCAAACGTTGCTGGTGGGATTATGAACTGGAGACCACTCAAAAAGCCTATTTGCATTTGGTATAAAAAAATCCTGAAATGGCTACCTGAACCAGCAGTTCTTCTCCAGGAACTTATCCTGGGGCTATAATTAACAATCCGTAATCTAACAAGATTATATGGGCAAAAGAAAAAAAAAATAGGAATACTCTAAATGTCCAAAACAGGACATTGTTAAATGAACGAGGGTAAATCCATAAAATGGACTAGCATCAAGTGACATGAAATGTTATAAGCCTTTATAAAAGTGGCTTCTAAATGGGCCTGCACAGAAAATATCAATAAAATCGGAGAGTAAATATCATGAGAACTACAACCTCTTACCAAAATTATAGAAAAGTAAAATATAAAATTATAGAAAAGTAAAAATAAATAATGAAAAATAGAAACAATCCTATCATTCAATTATTTTACAAACTTATGCTTCAATAAGGAAGGAAAAAAATACTACAAATCAGTTTACAAAAGATTCTGCACGAAACCTGTGGGACTTGGCCAACATCCTATATTGAGAAGAAAATTCAGTTTTAAATACTTTCATTATTAATCCAACAGCAAAATAATTAAGGAAACAAAACGTTTACCTCAGAAAATTTAGAAAGAGAAAAGCAAATTAAATGTAAGGACAGAAATTCAATACTGACAAGAATGACCTTTAATGTTTAAAAAAAATAACCCCAGAAGAATGGAATATGTGTAGAAAGGAGCAGAGAAAATGGAAATCGCTAGTCTGGGGGATTCCCAGAGTCCTCATGTCACCCTCCCCTCGGGACCTGTGAAATAACCGTGTACCCTTACGAGTACATCGCTTTTATGTTTGTAAGCAAGCTTGAGCTGGTTTGAATGTATAGACTTCTGGCTTTGGAGTTGAGATGCCGAATCCAGGACTCACAAGTGTAAGACTAAAATATTTGACTGACTACATAGACCTTTGTAACTGTAGGCAGCAAAGCATCCACAAAGATGTAAAAAAAACAAAAACAAAAACAAAACAAAAACAAAAAACAAAACCCCCACCGATATGTGAAATACAAACCACGGAATGACGCTCACGTGGAGATGACGCAGGTCACTCTCCTGACTGTATAATCATACAGGAACAAGCATCTCTAGATTTGCACAAACACAGAGCCCACAGTGGGCTCCCTGCTCAGCAGCGAGCCCACTTCTCCCTCTGCCTGCCACTGCCCCTGCTTGTGCTTGCTCTCTCTCTCTTTCTCTCTGACAAATAACTAAATAAAATCTTTAAAAAAAAAAGAAAGAAAGAAAAATAAAAGAAAATGGACTCCAAGGAAAGAACTCCTGAAACTACTGAAATAACTACTTAAAAATGTAGTCAGAATTAAGACTTGCTTGGGAAAAAAAAATCAGTTTTCCCAATAATAAACAAGGTTGTGAAAAAAGAGAAAAGAGGGCATTCAACCGCATAAAGGTGGGCAGTCAAATCGGTACGAATTTTTCTAAAGAGCGGATGAGCAAGACGTAGCAACCGTGTCAGTGAAGGTTCACATGCGTTGACGCACTTCCAGAAATCCGAGGCAGGAAATACCCAGAGATATGGACAAGGGTTATGTAGAAGGATATTCGTATGTGTTTTTTTAATCGTGAATTAAAAAATCAAAACAGCACACATGTCCATGACATTGGAATATTGGTCTGTATGTCTCCAATAATTCATTTAACAAGTATTCGCTGGGTGTCTGCTCTTGGACAGACCCTGGGGTCTACCATTCAGCAATACAAACATGGCGCACCTTCTGAAGCCCATAGTCCAGTTCCTCAGAGGGGGACGTCCGATGGTGAGCTCATTGCACCCCACATAAGGTAGGTGTTATTCAATGAAACCACGGGACACAAATGTGCATACACGCTATTACTTTATAATCAAAGAATGAAATTTTAAAAAAGAGCGCAAAAGAGTTGTGAACATCTATTTACTATCTTGAGAAGTGACGTGCTTGCCAAATGGAGGAGTGTCTCTGAGAGACAGAAAGAACCACTTATAGACCATTAGCCACTCAACAGGGAGGAAGGAGAGGCAGCATGAAGACCTAAAGCAAGAATGTTCAGAACCATGTCCATCAGAGCCCTAAGGACAAATAAAGATGTATCCTCCCAAGTTATCATCTAAAATGTGCGAATATTGGCTCGGGTCATGGTCTCGGGGTTCTGGGATCGAGCCCCACGTTGGGCTCTCTGCTCGATTGGGAGCCTGCTTCCTCCTCTCTCCCTGCCTGCCTCTCTGCCTACTTGTGGTCTCTCTCTGTCCAATGAATAAATAAAATCTTAAAATAAAATAAAATAAAATAAAATTTGCAAATATAATCTGGTTTGGAGGAGGGAATTGGAAAGGTGCACCTCTCTAATAAGGTCTAAAAGTAAGGTCAAGTTTACTCATTTCATTTCACAGCATTTTCAGCAAAAGCTTGATCTTCTGAGCGTTCCTTTCTGAACTGTTGTTAGGGTCGCGTCTTTAACAGGTAAATCTAGTCTAGGTGGTTGGCTGCTAGAATCCACTAGAATCCGCTAGAATCCACAATATCTGCGATGGTCGGAGGACAGGACCTCATTCATGTTTTAAGGATTCTAGTCCTGACATGGTAGGCTGAGTGTGCTTCACAGGCACGTGACATAGAGTTATAAATTAATTGTGTGATCGAGGAAGTCCCTAGGAATACCGCACCTGCCCCTTGTTTCTGCTGGTTGGCTGTCACCACAGCAACCCCTAGCTCCAGACCAAAGTTCAGCCACTGTAAATCTTTATGACCATATTCATAGTCCAATGTTCCTTGGGGCATTTTGTCCCCTGAAGAGCAAGCTTTTATATTTTACAAGAAGCATTCACTCCGTTGGACTCCATTTCTAAATACTGGACTCCAAATGATAAGGTCCAAACATAATACAAAAAGATCGTTGCTTTCTTTGTTTACCAGAGGACCCCTCCTTTCCTGAGAAGAATGCCTACAGTGAAGAAGACCCTGACGTTCTTATCGAGCTTTCTCACAAGCTTTGGGGCGTTCATTGTAGTGTGCACTATGCTTGGGACCCAAGAATGGGTCAGCAGCAGAATCGCCGTCAGCGACTCGTCTTCAAACGGTAGTCTCATTATCGTCTACGGACTCTTTCGTGGGAACGGTCGTCAGGAATTCAGTCATGGACTTGAGGAGTCAAAGAAGGGCTTTGGAGGTAAATGAGAACTTAATTTGAGTGGGTACAGCGAGAGTGCGTTAACGGGGTAAGACTCATGTCAACCTCTGTCTGGGCCAAATAGCAGCTCCTCCAATCAATGATGTCCTCATAAGCTCTGAGATGGCTTACAGATATGAACATATACTTTAATTGGTTTAATTAATATGAACATATATTTTAATTTTGAAAATTCACCCACATTATTCTTTTAGCTTCCTCGGTTCTGGTTGTGTCTGTTAGTACCGCAGTCTAAATAATTCTGGCAGATGCTCTGTTGACGTAGCCTTTCCAAGTTTACTGACAAGAAAATAATTAGCAGGAATATGGTATCCGACATAAGAGGATAGTAGGAACAGTATTTTTAGGTGTACTGACTGCAGATTTTTATTTATTTTTTTAAAGATTTTATTTATTTATGTGAGAGAGAGAGTGAGAGGGAGACAGCATGAGCTGGGTGAGGGGCAGAGGGAGAACCAGATCTCCCTGCCAAACAGGAAGCCTGATGTGGGGCTTGATCCCAGACTCCGGGATTGTGACCTGAGCCAGACTGACGCTTACCTGACCGAGCCCCCCAGGTGCCCCTAAAAGCAACATTTATCTATTATTTAGGCCCTGGGATGGACTCTGCATGGAGCAGCATTGCATACGGATAGACAGAAATTATCAGCCATGACTCAGCCATTTCCTGCTGTCTTGTAATTGGGCATCATTTCCTACCGCATATAAGATGTCGTATTCAGTTTGAGTTAGAGCCTTAAACCCTGAGCAACATAGGTGTACGTCCAAGTTGTGAAAATTGTCTCCTAGACATCAGTGAAAGCAGCATGTCCTCCAGCTGCGCAGTCACGCACTGTAACGGTACACGCCTCCTCCAGGCCCTGCCGCGGCTCCTGGGGAATTCGAGGCGGACTCCCCTTGCAGCAACCCGAAACAGAGACTTTCCAACACGCAGTCGCACATTCAGTATGTGAAGAGCATTTGGAAAACCAGAATGTGTACTAGTTCCTGAGCCTCCAGACACACTGAAAAAAAAATTTAACTATGAGATAACAGCCGGTGACGTTTCTGATTTTCATGCTGTCTGGTTGGAACCACTTGGTTCCCATCTGAGCTACGTGGCTTCAGGGACAGCCGTGGTGACCTGTATCAGCAAAGCTCGGGGAGGCTGGGGAAGGTCTGAGCCTGACTCCAAGCCCTGGGGGGCGGGGCGGGTGGGATGGTGTGGAGATGGCAGGGAGAGGCGTAGCCTAGACCAACCCTGAGGGCGCAGGGCCAAGTGGGCCCCATGGCGCCCTACGGCAGCGGGAATGAGGCACACTATTTGCATTTGCTTTGCCTGGCTCCCTACTATGTTCATCGTCACCGCAGAGCCACGGTCAGCTCTCTGAAGTCACTGCCCCACGTCCAGAAGATAAGCTGCGCCCCCAATCAGACAGGGTGCACCCCAACTTGCTTTGGCTGATGTTTGCTCGGGACTCCGCAGAGCCGAGGGGGTGTTCACTGCTGAGGGTTTTAGCCATCACTGGATGAGGGACATTTATTAACTGTTCTCGAGGATAGGGGAAAGTCAGAACTAGTGCCGGGTGTACCCTGGGTTCAGCTGCTGCAGACCCATGGATGTTCTCCCTGGAGAGCAGAACGAGAGGCTGAGGTCCAGCTGCTGCTCTGCTGGTTTCTCGGGGCCATATGGGGCTCATCTCCGGTCAGAAACTGATTGTTGGCAGCAAAATAAAATCTGTATAAATGCCATTTCCTTCCCCAGCAATGATGCATTAAGGTTTCCATTTAAAGACGTTAACATACCAGCTTCTTGCCCAGGATGAGGTCACAATGAAAATCTCCAAAGAGGCGTGAATATTGCAAAGTTCTCCTCTATTTCTGAATAGGACTTAGGATGTTGTGCCAATTTTGGCTGTAGATTTTGAGATGACAGCACAGTACCAAGTGACAGAGGCTGATTTCAACACGCCAAGAGAATCCAGCCGCCACTAGGTCCACCGGTGGGGAAGATAATCCGTCAGACCTGGCAAGGAAGCTCTCCCATATATGACCAGATTCTGTGACCAGGAGATCTACTAGCTTCATCTGGTGGCCTCTTGGTTTGTCTAATATCCAGATAAAAAGTTACAGCCCCTTTGTCCACCAGTAAACACTTTGATTTTGCTACTCCAAAAGTTCTGGATATTGAATTTCGGTCCAAAACATTTCCCCGGAGCAGCTGCTCCATGAGGGAGGGGCTGGGACACTGCAAGGAGGAACTGCCCATCACTCCTGGGCTTGGTGAACTCACCATAGCTTCCTTTAAAAAAAAAAATAATAATAATTTTTTATTACATTATGTGAATCACCATCATCTAGAGAAAGGCCCCCCCCTCAGTTAAATCAGACAATGGAGGTCGCTATGACAGCAAGGAGGGGTTTCGCCCAGTCTGCCTGCCCACCCCACCCACCAGTCTCTTTTCTCCCCCTACCCTGTTTGTTCTCAGGGGACTCAAAATTGCACTATTGGCCCAAGACAAAAAAATAATAATAATAATAATTAGAATAGTAAATCTGTTGCAAAAATCAATTAATTGCAAGGAGACAAACAAAAGAGGCTTATTTCTTCCTTAGTATTCCTACTCACCAACCCCACCCCCCATACGCATTATACTTTTCCAAGGAGGAGCACCTTATTATCTGTCCCCAGAGACATGACCAGGCTGGGTGATGGAGTTTAACAGGGCGGAAAATGCGCTCCCCTCCTTCTCTGTGACAGAACCCAGATAAATTTCCCAGAGGCTGGGCATGCCACCTGGGACTTCTTGGAAGACCTCAAACGTTCAGCTTCTCAGGGGTGTACTGGGGTCCATGGGTGGAGGGTTCCACCAGGTCAGGCTCCCTGATGACCAGATGCTTCAGAAGGGGAAGGCAGTTCCCACCCACCGGCAAAGCCACTGGCTCTCCCTCAAGGTCTGAGGACGGATGGAAAACCAGAGCTAGGAAGACCCTGCGGCAAGCGGCTCCTGAAGGGTTAAATCTCCAGGCACAGAAAGCCCAAGGTCCAGATGACCCATTTCCATACGCTAAGCACTAAGCACCGTACCCAGCACATCTTCTACCTCCCAGCTGCGGGAGACATGGCCTCTTTCCTGAGGTTGCTAGAAGCCAGGCAATTAGTTCCAATTGTGAGGTGGTTTTCCTGATTCCAACGCTTGGCCCTGAAAAGGAAGGGGGAAAGAACGGAATGTATTTGCTAATTTTGTAGGCAGAGAGCAGCTGTCAGATGCTAGGGTGGCTTTATTCTGTTTCATTCTTGCTAACTTGCCCTGAATTTCCAGCTTTCATTGTCTGAGTTCTGAGCTGGGAGGGGGCTGAGAGATACAGCTGTCATACCTGTGTGGCAGGAAATTCAGATGCTGAAAAAGAATTTTAAAAGACGGCTGTTAAAATTAAGATAAATTGTTGCATTAATACAAAGAAAAGTATGAGTCAGTAGGCTCCAAATGGGCACCCTTTTGAAAAATCGTGTCTGTTAGGTCTTACCAACAGTAAAAACAGCCTAACCTAATAGTCACTTTCTGGTCTACTCTGAAAAAGTGGAATGTTCACCATTTGCAAACAAACATCCATTTACAGCTTTTGGTAAGTGTACAGAGCGGAAATATTCTCCAGGGCACGCCAGAGATGACATTCTCCCCACACCAAAATGTCTATTTTCTAGTTAAGTATCCAAATTATTTCTTATCGGCTAAACCCAGAGTTTATTTGGTCCCCAGCAAATTCCTGATTAGAGCTTCAGCTTTCCCCCTGGGTGGCCTGGAAGGAACAGGATGGGTGGCATGGGAAGCGGTCCTTCCTCACAGTGAGGGTTGGAAACCGTCAGACAGGTGCGTCCTGCTTCCGGCTTTTCCCTGCTCCTCTGGAGTCATGATCCGCTCATGTCAAGACAGACGTGTGCTCCGTTAGAGAACTGCCCCGCCCTGGCATCCCCACGGTCAGCCGAAGAGCGAGAGTCTTAGCCTGAGCTCAGGGCCTTCCAAACAGCCCAGCCCACCTGGTTCCCAGAGGGCAGGTGGCCCATCGGACCCCAGCCTTCCTCACCCAGGCCATAGGTAGTGGCAGGCAGGGGCACAGTCTTAGTTGAACTCTGTGCTCAGAGTCCTTCCTTGGGATGCATCCCACAGGGCTGTGCTGAGGACTTGGCCCAGCCAGCCTGTGGGTCATTAGCAGACGTCGTGAACAGTCCAGTCACCACTGGGTCCCTGTGAGATGAACTTTGCTCCCAGGACCGCCTCTCGTGGAGGAGCAAAATGTTCTCGGGCCAAGGGAGGTGACGTCATCGGGCCCACGCTGCTGGGCTGGTCACTCCCCTCTTCTGGCCTCTGTGTTCTCCCAGGCAGTTCCCAGGGGGTGGCTGCAGGTCTCGGTGCCCTCTCCTCTTCCCACCAGTTCCCTTCCTGTAGCCTCCCGCTGTCCACTCTCCGATGGCAGGAAATCTGCCCCCCTTCTAGAGTACTGCCGATTAAAAATAAAAATCAGAATGAACAATCTAGATGCTCAGGACTGGAGAGGGGAGAGACCCGGTGCAGGTCGTATCCACTCTGAGCCGGGGGAGCTGTGCCGCTCTGGTCCGTGTGTTTTGGGGCTGGGAGTCAGAGTCAAGTGTGTAGAGAGCCAGGGACAGGTGGGCAGGAGCTTTGGAATCGTGCCTCGCGAAGTGCATTCTGGAGATGCAGGCTCTTAATCGCGCTGGGGTTCAGGCCTCCCTTCAGTGACAAGAGAGGCTGCGGCAGAGCGGAGCAAGGGGACACTGAACTCCTCCCGACGGAGCAGCAGGACGCGGGCAGATCGGAGACACGCACGTTTGGGTCCGGCACAGTGAAGAGCTTGCATTTTTTTTTAATTTATTTATTTGTGTGGGCAGGGCTGGTTTTTATTTTATTTATTTATTTATTTATTTATTTTTTCTATTTAAGTTTTAGTTAGCTAACATACAGGGCAATGCTGGTTTCTGGAGTCGAGCTCAGTGACTCATGACTTCCATACGACGCCAGCGAAGAGCTTTTAAATGACGAAGTCAGCACGGCATGAAAAGGGCCACCCTCGCAAAGAGAGGGCCCCTGGCTGCCAGGACACGCGTCAGGCACAAGCTTGGCAGCTCCTCCCCTGGTGCGCACCACGTCCCGGGGGCCCCTCCAGTTCATAGGGACCCCATTTTTTGGAGCACTCGGGTTCAGAGAGAGAGAGATAAGGAGCCCCAAGCCCTGGAACAAGCTATCTTTCCTGGCCTTTCTGGTTTCTGTTCTTTAAAGCGGCTCTGCGGTGAGGCTGGGAGGGGCTCCTCACTCTCTCCCAGAGGCCTGGGAAACAGAACGGAAAGAAGAAAGCTTTTACTTTCTCCTACCGTCCTCCCCCGCCCATCGCGGTTCTTAGTCTCACAGTTCCCCATGACTTCGTTGCCCTTACCGTGAAGTCTGAAATCTTTTCCCCTGATTACTTTTGCTGTATATTGTTGAGGTAAACAGTTTACTTAATGTGGTGGCAATGGCCTACTGCCCTAAAACACACAGCGGCCTTTGGGGATGTTTTATAAGTGCGTGGCTGGGGTTACAGGTAAGTGTGGGGACAGCGTGCCTTTGCCGTGTGGTCATCTTGTGTCGTAAACACAGGAGTGAGCAGAAGAAGGAGATGCGTAGGGACGGCGGCGGGTTGTGGTTAGAAACAGGAGGACGGCAAAAGCTGGAGCTCACGGCTACCAGCCCAGGGCATCTGTGTTCTGTTTGGCACAAGTGCGTATCCATGCCCGGGGCTCCTTTGCACTTAAGAAATAGGCACATTTTATAAAATGCTGTTTGAGCTCAGAGGAATTGAGCTTGGGAAGAATCCTGATCGTTTACCCACGGGTCACCTTCTGCATTTGAGCCACACGGGCAGTAGGTCCTCTGATTCCAGGGAAGTGACGAGGGAAGCATGGCCGACACCTCAGGGGCACACACAGCGGTCATCTGCCTGTCCCCAAGGCTGTCTTTGTCTCCCTCCCCTCCTTGCCTTCTGTGTAATGGGCTCACCTCCAAAATCTCCAGGGGTACCAGAGCCTCTCGATCGTAGGTTTTCAGTAAGGGTCCCGGAGTGGAAGGACAGCAGTGCTCCGAGCAAAGGAACACCACCCATGGGGAAGAGTGGTGACGCCCGCTGGCAGACCTCTGAGGCCAGAATGCACAGAGGAGGGGTGCCCAGCCCTGCCACAGCTTATCAAGAAGGGTACCCTCTTTTCTTGGGGAAATTAAAATTGGGGTGGAGGGTCAGTTACCCGAAGTCCTGTGGTTACACACATTCAAGGGGGAATGAGTATCCCGAGTTCCCGCCTCTTCCTGTTCCCCCGCACACCTGCAAGGTGTCTCCTGCAATTCCTACCCCCAGTGTCCAGGCAGAGAGAGTGCAAGGGACTGCCAGGGTGGCATGGTATAGCCCTCGGGTCGAGGACTGGTGTCTGCTTTTTGTGCTACATGCTTACCACACACTGCTTTAGTTCTAGAGAAATTGAACAGTTCTTCCCAAAGAACGCTGCATTTGGTGGTTATCCTGGTCCTGGTCCTCAGCCTGTGCACGTTGCTGCTCAGCTCTGGGCTCACCCTCTACAACAGCATCAGCAACCCCTACCAGACGTTCTTGGGGCCCGTGGGCGTGTACACCGGGAGTGGACTTGGTGGTGAGTATCCCCGGGGACACCACTGCTGAAGGGCACGGCCTCTGGGTCTCTGTCCCTCTGCTGCTCGGTCCCACATAGGAACGCACATGATCCCGGGGGAGCCATGGAGATTACGCAGACCTGGAACTTGCCAAGTTGTGCGCCAGAGCCCGGGATTTATGTCTGCAAACCAACAGCATTTATGAAGCATCTTGGAGATAAAATGGTTTTAACTGCCCTGGTGGAGAGGCGGGCAGTGACATGCGGGCTGGGTGTTAGGTGTTAAAATACATAATTACACCAGCTCCTGCTGTTGAGTACGGAACTGTAGGGAGTTAAACGCAATGTCCCTAACTCCACGAGACATTCACTGTCGGCAACTCCTGCTGTGTTCTTAATGCCAGATCAGGGCGCACATGGCATGTGGAAGTACACACACACACGCACGCACACGTGCGTACACACACACATATATGCACACACACACGTGCACCCACACACACGCATGCATCCACATACGCACACATATGCACACACGCACACACACATAGGCGCCCACATACACATATGCACACACACGCACACACATAGGCGCCCACATACACATATGCACACACACGCACACACAGACATACATGCACACATAATTACTCTCCTCACCTCCAAATAACAGTCAGTGTGGGTCAAAATCCAAACATGACACATCTCTGTGACTGTCCCTCAGAGGGCCACAAAGAAGGTCATTTAGAGAAACCGGGGCAACACCCTTCTTGTGGGTGACCTGTGAGCTCCGGGGGACTCTCTGGGGTGTGGCTAGCTTACTCTATTCATGCACTGGTCACGGTTGGGGTGGGGGTGCAGCGCAGGTGGGAAGCAGACCCCAGCTTGGGTCACAGTATGTGTGGCTCTCCCTGGGGCGTCACGAGGCTCAGCAGCGAGCGTGAGTGCCCAGAGGTGTGGCCGAGTGGGGGGGCCTCTGCCCTCGCCAGGCGGCCAGAGGTCTTCTGCTCTCTCCTGCTCTCCACCATGAAAACCTGATCTTGAGAAAGGACGTGAAGAAGCCTGTCCCACCTATGGAATGCCTCTGGAGGTGGCTTCGTGTCCGGGCCAGGGAGAGCATTTTAACAGAGGCCAGGAACTTTCAAGCACAGGAAAGGTGGTCTGGACATTAAGGTGTCAGGAAACCTCCAGGACTCTGGGCAGCTTGTCCTTCCGTGAGAGACCGTCCTTGCACAAGCCCAGGGCAGGTGGTGGGAAGGGATCCCCAGTCTTTGTGCTGCAGCCGTCCGCAGTGTGGCCCTGGAGAAGAGGAACATCCGGCTCTCGGGGGAGGGGCGCCCAGCCGGTAGCACTTGGCCTTCTGGAAGCTAACAGTGGAGAAGATTTGAGAGCCAGCCCCAGGTGGCAGGGATCAAGGGAAGTCTGTGCAACTCACTCCACAAAGGGGGATGCAATTCGTAATCATTCATCCAGGCGAGCGGTGGGACCTGGGACCACAGGTCTGGCCACATTGCATGCAGGCTCCTAGGCTCTGAGGATCTGGGGTCGGGCTGGGTTAGCCACACCCACACATGACTTGCACTTTCCTTTCTTCCTGTGGTTTTATTACCTGGTGGTAAAAACAACCTGCCCCTACCCCCAGTGCACTGGGCACCTGCGGTGGGCCAGTCACAACAGTGCTGTGGAGTGCTCTGACCTCCCAGACGCACCAGGGGTCAGGCTGAGGGACTTGGTTACAAACTCAGACATCCTCTCCCAAAGGCCAGGCTTCCTCTCCCCAAGCTATTTCTAGGATTATAGCTCACCTCAGTCAAACCAAAAGCAAGACTCCTTGGCACTCTTCCAGGGTTAAAAATGGATTATTTTAATTTTTGCTCATATAATTAAGCAGCTAAAGAAAGTGGCAGCTTCGGGTACGGCTGGATCTTGGCCCACACAATCAGCAGTCTGATTCCCTTTGGTGCTTGTCTCTTGATTTTCCCAGTGGTCTCTCTGAGGCTAAGCAGAGGGCTGGTCCCCGCAGAGGCAGGATGGCTGCCAACAACCCCAGGAAAAAGGTTTTTTTTTTTTTCTTTTCCCCCAAATCTGACTTGCCCTGGAATTGTCCTCCTCCCCCTGCCCTGGAGCAATCTCCATGGCCGTCAGTGGCGCTGAACTCACTGGCAGACCCACCCAATGGCTGGGACCCCTGACCCCATGGAGCTGGGGCAGCCCCAAGAGGGAAATCAGATTCCAACACCAAAGGATGTTTGGACGTGGGCCCGCAGGGACAAGACGGGATGACCTCGCCCCACTACAGCCCGCGGGGCTCAAAGCCCATTGCCTCATAAACCCTGTTTCCGCAAGCCTGGGGTTTCCAGCTCTTTGTGTCCACAGTGGAGGATAAGCTGACTTTGCACATGGCAGAGGCCGATGAGCGTCTGTAGAGGAAAACGTGAGAAACACGGGGCCGGCGGCCTTCCCCTCAGTCCCCGCCAACTTCTTCTTCTTCTTTTTTTTTTATTTTTAAGATTTTATTTATTTATTTGACAGACAGAGATCAAGTAGGCAGAGAGGCAGGCAGAAAGCAGGGGGGGCGGGGCAGGGAGCAGGCTCCCCGCTGAGCAGAGAGCCCGACATGGGGCTCCATCCCAGGACCCTGGGATCATGATCTGAGCCGAAGGCAGAGGCTTAACCCACTGAGCCACTCAGGCGGCCCTACCTACTTCTAACAACAAAGAATCCTCTGACAGTGAGAGAGCTCATGTGGCATTCCTTTCCGGCTTGGACAAGTTCCAGCACACAGAAGGGGTTGTCAGGTGGGCAGAGAAACAACCTGAGATATCGAGGGTAAGGAGGAGGACTGCATTCTGGCAGGGGTCACGGAGATCTTTGAGGCACTGGGCTTCTCCTCCAGCCTCCTCTGGACACCCCTGGCCTGGCCTCTTGATCCCAGGCCTCTGAGAAGCCAGACTTTGGCCCTGAGTTTGCCTCTGGGGACTCCCAATTTTCTTCACATGAGCTTTGAGTGTGCAGAACCTAGTGGAAACTCTGTTTAGGTGAGGCTCGGCCTGCAGAAGGCTTTTACACACAACAATGTCATTGATAACCTTGCTTTGGGTCATCTTGGCTGGGGACTTGGTCCCCCTGGTCAGGCTGGCTGCAGGGCCTCTTGGACCAGAGGGAAGTGCTGTGAATCCTTCTAGAGACTGCATTTGAACAAACTCCCCTTGGCTCCGGGGAAGAAGACGTGAGGACGTGAGCTTCCTGGTGTGTTTTGGAAGGAACAGGAGCAGATTCTGCTTGGAGGAACACACAACATCACAGCCTCCCAGACTCCTGTGCCCTCTGACCCCGACCTGCCCTTCGCCCCACAGCAGCCTGGAGTGGCCCGACCCTGACCACAGGGGATGTAACTGTAGACTGAGAGAATGTTGGGGCCTGACAGGACTTTGCTGATTGCTTGAGCCTCAGCCCAGGAACCCGGAGAGCAGAAGGTGATGGGGCAGGTCGCCTGGCCTCATGCGGACAGGCCAGGCCTGGTGACAGCGTCCTGAGGCTTCAGGAGCTCCCCCTGCTACCAAGGAGCCCCCTTTATCCCTCTGTAAATCCCCCGTCCCAGAGAGCCAAGGAAGCCACAGGGAGAGGCAGCCGCTTCCCGCAGGGGCTCAGGTCAAGTGTCAGGGGCGGCCCCTCCCGACTCAGATCAAAGTCAAGACCGTCCCACTGCAGAGAAAAGTGTGTAACCCTGTGTTCGACCTGCCCCTTGTGACTAACCATTTATGAGAAATTTCACAAGAGCATAATGAAGGATAATTAAGGAGTGTGAGATGCATAGAGCATCAGAGGAAGAGGCTCTTGTACGTCCAAATTATTGAGAAGTAAAGCCATCACCCTGAACATGAAAATCTGTCATCAAGGACAGTTTGAGTGTTCTCCTCACACAAAAGCTCTCACGGCAGGGCCTTTGGAGGATTGGGAAAAGTCTCCGGGTGTGGGCGATGGCCACACGTTGACCCCAACATATCTCTCCAGTTGTGGGTAAATATTCTCAGAGATGGGCAACCGTCCCCTCCATCAGTTTTGGAACATTCCATCAGCTCAGAGAACACCCCGTGCCCTCTGACCACCGCCGCCTCTCCACTGCTAGCCCAGCCCCATTCCAACCAACCCCGAATCTGCCCATTGCCTTGGTCAGGAAGGATACGGTCCAGAGAAGCCCCAGGGGCCGTGTGGCTGGATTCGCGGAACCCGGCTCTCTCTGACTCCAGAACTGTGTTCTCCAGCTGGGTCAAGGTGACTGTCCAAAGTCACTACCAAGACACATTCTCCAGGGGAGGACATTGTGAAGAATTAAAAAAAAAGGAAGAGAAGACAATTAGACAATTAACAAGTTCTCTTCTCACACAAGTTTAGTGAAGATACCCTTCCTGGTTAAACGCCACACTCCACTGTGAGCAGAATGAAAGTCCAGGCTCTGAGCCAATGTCTGAGGCTCTCCAGGGTGGTCTCCTCCTCCACAGTCAGTGCTCAGGACCCTCAGAGAGGCTTCTCAGGGGCCAGGTCTTGTCCTGGGGTCCCAGGGGCTCTGAGCTCACAGCCCACCCCACCCCGGGCATCTTTGCATGGGCTGCCTCTTCTGTTTGCAGTGCTCTGTCCTTCAAGTCCTTGTCATCCATCCAGTCCTCTCTAGAAAGCTTGATTTTCCTGTCTTCTCATTCTCAAGTTCATTTCACACATCCCCTGCTATAAGGACTTGAGCCATATGTTTGCTCTTGGCCGGACGCTGCCCTCAGTCTTTAGCAGTTTGTGCCTAGAGTCTAGCTCCGGTCTTACACTTGCTTTGCATTCCAATACCTAGACGACCATAACCCCCGTGTAGAGATTCCATGCGTGCCCACAGAGCACAGGTTCCTTTAAGAAAGAATGTGACATTAAAAAAGATATCACCATATAATTTACGAGACCGAATCTTCTTTCCAGCTTTCTTCGTTTTCATGGCCATGATACTGTTCGTGGGGAACACACAATCCAACCATCTCTCGGAACACCTGGCCCAGACGCTGTACCCATTGTATCCAGCCGCCGCCTACGGAGGAACGACCCACAGCTACGGGTACTCATTCTGGCTCACGCTGCTTGTCATTCTTCTAAGTGCTATATCCGTGGTCATCGTCATTTTCTACCAGAAAGCCAGATACCAGCGAAAGCAGGAGCAGAGAAAGCCCATGGAATGTGCTCCAAGAGATGGAATTTTATTCTGAATCTGACATCATGTTATTTAGTCATTAGGTCTACTCTATGGTACGTCAGCTCCGGAGCGGTGACTGGCTCGCTTGTCTGTCTGTACAATCAGCAAGGTTAAGTGCAGCCCTGGTTGACAGCCACTTTGTGATCGTTTTGTATCTCATGACGTCCCATAAATGATGTCACCCTGCAAAGGGTTCTTCCCACTGGGGTGGGGAAGATGAAGGGGAAATCTCTCCAGCCCACGCAGCGTTCAGTGCAGTAGAATGACCCCAAGGCTATGGAAACCCCCAACCTGGTCCCACTCTCTAAGACAATAAAGGTTGGTGGCCTACACCTTCCCTTTAAGTAGCTCAAAGCATGTGAGCACCTAGCACCTCTTTCTCCTCAGCAGGGACTAGGTACTTTTATTCCACTGTATGAATGAAGACTTCAGGTACAGAGAGACTCAGAACTCGTCTATCCAGGACCAGGTGTTGGAGGCAAAAGGTGGGCGAAAGTCTGGAATAAACACCGTGGTCCTCTGGACCCCTGGTTCCTGACATAATTGAAACCCACTGATGGGTAGAAGTGCTGACATATGACCTTCCAACCCATTTTTGAGGTTCCAAGGAGCAGATTTTGGTATGGAAGAGAGGAGGAAGTAAGAAGATTTAAGATAAAAATTATAAGCCTATAGCCTTCACACTAGGGAGGCTAAATGTATTTTTGGTTTAAAAGCATTATGGTGAGATAGTCAAAAGGGAAATATAACGTTGCAATGAGTTCTAGAAAATAAGCCTTTGCTGTGGACATGGTAGAGTTGGCCAGAGTAGATCAGCCATCAGCGAATTCCAGTCCGGCCAGAAGTCTAGAGCACTGGGTTTGCAGTGAAGGCTGGGCAGATGGAGAAGACAGATTCTGGACTGCCCTCTAAGAACGGGTGGGTCAGATTGGTTTGCAGACTCAAAAGAACTCAGTGGGCCACCAGGAAATTTTTGAAGACCTCTGGAATGGATTAGACCTACTTTGCTGGTAGGATATACTTCCAGATAGTCCCTTTGAGGATCTTTTGTGATTAACTCTCCCCCAAGTCAGCCCGGTTGAACATTGACAGGATTCTGAAATCATGACCTGTCATGTCTTGATTGAACCAAAGTCAAACTGAGCGGAAATTTAGTGTAATTTACACTCTTAGTGTAACTTACAAAGCAGCTGCTCTTTGGACAGAAAGATCTTCTTTATGAAGCTATTTGGGATTCACAACTTCTTATCTACTATTTTTTAGCAATCTGTCTTAGAATTAATATTCTTCATTCAAGAAACGCCCACTGAATGCATATGATGTGATTAGCCATGTGCTAATGCGGCTGGGCTTACTGTGGAGAAGTCAAGACAGGCATTCCAAGAGCAGCTGTTAAATTCCACATCAAACAGAGACTCAGTCACCAGACTGTGCTCATCCTCTGAAAGGTCAGTCCTCTATCACCGCCCACCCCAAAGTCAAGGTCACTCTAATAAATTAACTTGTTGTGAAACTTGGAACCTATTAAAATTACGATTCTCAACAGTGAAAATAGTTCTAAATTCTTTGAAGCTAAAAACATTTATGTTCTTCGAAGTTTGCATTTTGGATCAGATTTTGATAGTGTGGAAAAGTAATGGAAGAGGAAACGGGTATGGGTGACAATCCGTGCAAATGATCGCTGAGTAGGCCAGGGCTCACACCCCAGGTTAGTGCAAAGGACACTACAAGATACAGAAAACACGTTTACTCATCTCAGAGTCTGAGCGGCCCTCGGTTTCTTTAGGGCACAAATTGTCTCAGTCCTTATACCACAGATGACCTTTAAGGAACCACTCAGAACAGCTACAGGGAAGTATGTTTCACAGTTCTGGAGATGACGAGCCTAACTCTCTCTTACTGTGTCTGAACGTAGAAGGTAATGAAACTGTGTGTGCGCGTTCCTTAGAAATTCTGTTAAGGAAGAACAAAGTTTGCAGACTACTCAGAGACGCAGACGTGACTTCATAGAAGTACATTACATTTACTGTAGTGGAACCACGTAAAACACCATTTTCAAAGTCTGAACGATTCTGTGGAATTAGAATGTTCCAGCAGTCATGATATGACCCACTAATCAACCCGTGTGGCCCTATTACGATGAGCTGGATGACAAGGTTCATCCACATTTGCAAAATAAATAAACCTTATAGAATATTGTGCTCTAAGATTTTGCAAGAACACAGGGTCTATGATGATAATTCTAGAGAAATTCATTCTCTACACTAATGTCCATGTGGTTAATGCCCCACCCCCATGAGCTGATGTTTGCAAAGCCCGATGGGAAATGGGGATACCCTCCAGGTAAACTCTGCTGCCACTATGGTAATTTTATTTGATCATCTCAAAATATCCTGTGGATGAAGCAGGGCAGGAAGCATTGTCTCCTCAGATGTGATGTTTTTCGGGGTCTCCATGGCGATCCAGCAGCCGGCCCCACATGGCCGTACAGTCGTGGTACTCCTGTGAGTGACCCAGGGCCATCAAGGTAGACCTATCAGTGGCCTTCTTTCCCTGGGGGCTGCTCGTGCTCTTGGAAGTCCTGGGAGCCTGCAGATGCTGCAGAGGGCAGGCAGGCACCAAGCAACACTCTGGAGCGGGTCCCCCTGCCTGTACCTCATGCGCCCAGTGACCATCGTCCTCCTTCAGTGAAACCCGCCACCGAGTGCAGACTGGGAGCCGGGTTCTTAGCTGCCTGGTCCGACGTCTTTCTGAAAACAGCCTGAATAAGGACATGGGCACGTCGCGTGTGGGGACGGACCGTTCAGAGGCAGGAGACTGATTCTGAATTTGCAGCATGGAGAGACCTTGGTCCCTGAGCCCCACACTGTGCCCTCCTGACCCTGGCACCCAGCACCCCCCACCCTGCTGGGGGAGCAGTGGGAAGATAAATCCTTTGGCCAGGGGTGGGGAAGGCGGATCCCTCCATCGCAGCCCTGTTCCCTGTCCTCCGGGGCCAGCCCTGTCATGGCCCCTTCTGAACTTCTGTTTGTTTTCTCATGACTAAAAAATAAAACATAAGTAATAGAAATGACCTCCGGAGTAGGACGGAGAGGGAATGCTGGAGGCAGGGTGCCGGTGGTGGGGAAGGTAGTTAACCTCCAAGAGCGTCATCCTAATCATCCGTGAGAGGGGCTGACTAAAGCAGGATTGGCTCTCGGGTTGAGGGAAGGAACCTGACAAGGTCTGCAAAGGGTCCCCTGGCCCTGAGAGCTCGCGGCCGTCCTCCTCCGTCACGGACCCTTCAGTATGTAAGCGCCGTGATCACGTGTGAAGGGGAGCTCATGCTGCCTCCCTGAGCTACTGCAGGCCCCACGACTCTCTTACTCTGTCGATGAGCAAGCAACAAACAATGTAGACCCAGGGAAGTTAAGAAACTTGACCAAGCATCTGAGGCCGGCAGGTGGCAAAGCAGAGGTCAAAGCAGGCCCCGGACACCTCTTCTTTTTTGCCTGTATTTGACTCAGTTCCACGAGCATTGTTCACATCAGGCTGGTGGCCCAGGCGTGCAGGGTGGCGGGTGTTGGGGTGGCAGGTGTTGGGGGGGTGACCACAGGGACAACAGTGGGAAAGCAGCGTGGTTCCCACAGAAACGGGCCTCCTGGGTGTGCCCAGCACGTTTCTCTGCATGTGTGAGTCCCACGGTGGATCTGATTGGCTCAGAACCAAAAGGAGTGGCTGGCTGGCTCCAGCATAGGGCGCTAACCTTCCGCAGGGCTGGGTGCTAACCCCAGCTGGGGAGGGTGGGGTGTGGGGGGATAGGACATGCCCTGAGAAGCCAGCACATCCTGCAGCCAAGGGACTTTGTGCTCCTAAAAATAGAAAGAGGTTCAGTTTACTCATGATGACCAGGGTCACTGACTCCTACAGCTGTGCTCAAGGAGGAACTGAGATATGTAGGAAGCCTGACACATTGCATGCCTGGAGCGGGAAGCCCCAAGAACACCCACATTCTGTTCCTGTTCCCCATGCTCTTCCCGCAGCGTGTTCTCACCCAGCCCAGTGACTGAAAATGAATTATGCCGGCAGAATGTCCGACAGCCTCCTACTACGGCCACAAGGCTCCTGTGTTTGCGCCGGCCTTCACGTCCGCTTTCCAAAAGCTTTCATTGTTTCATCAGAAAGAAAAATTTAGGTAGAAGTGCATTTCCTTTTATGACTCTGAGTTAAGGAACACTCCTCCTACCGCCCACCTCGCTCCTCACCAAGAGGGTTAGACTTTAATGTTTAACCTTGACCCTCTGTGAAATGCTCTGCTGGTCGGGTGATGCGGCAGCAGCTACTTCAACAAAGTGTTCAACCAGCAAGTCACTCTTCCAGAAGAGGGCGGGTGGGGGGTGCGGCTTCTCTAGTTCCGAACAGCAAGGCGGAGCTCAGGGACAACTGGGTCAGGGGCCTCCGGGGTCTGCGGGAGCAGCAGCAGCAGCAAACATGACCGTCAACGTGACTATCTCCGAGCGTGTCCTCCCCAAAGGCTCTCCACGAGGCTCCACTGGATCCTCACAGCAGATGCATGGGTTGGTTTATAATTAATCCCATTTTTTAGGCAACTGGGAGAGGCCAAGCAGAAATTGCATCCTGGAGCCTCAGCCCAGGTCTCCTGAGAGGTGCACGTGGCTGGGAACCAATCATCTTACAGGGGCACTGCGCCTGCACAGGGCGGGCTGCAAGAAGTCTCAAGTGCACCTCCAGCCATTAGAGCTTGGCCTCCACTGGGCGTCCCCCAGGCATGTGGCATTTAGGGTGACCGAGTCTGCTGGATTCTCCAAGTGTTTAATTGGGTAATCATTCACCTTTTGATAAAAAATTTAACCATTTTCACTACACCCTGCGTGTAACCTTGATGTACTTATGGTAAGACTCACCTCTTGCTGATGGCCCCATCACAGTTGTGAGCAAGGATTAAGGATTCTGTTGAAGGCGGGCAGGATAGTACAGAACATGCTTCTGTGTTAACAGATGGAGGTTTTAGTGACGACGCAG